TAAAGTAACGATAGGCACCCAATGAATCGACCTTTACCATTTTTGCTACAAAAATTTAGAGAACGAATGGTTTCTACTAAAATGGTTAGTGCTGCATTGACCTGGTATGCTAACTGATCAACGAAGTCTATCACTACGACATCAACATACTCGATGACTTTTGAGAAGATCACCAGTCCATATAAAGCTATAGCCATAGCCACTAACCCTTGATCATCATCTATATGTCCCTGGATGAAATCTCGTAGAAAACTCCATGGAATAGCCTTACTTTCACCTTTTATCTTGACACATGCATCGACTTGAGGTAGGCTAAGTCCAAGCATTTGCACTAGCTTTTTACGATAGCCCACATTATTGGACCAGTAAATCTTATCTAGGTTTGGCAAATCAAAGCGAAGTAAGACCATATACTATTCAATTGTGAGCACTATATCTGTTTCATTGAAAATGAAACATCTATAAAAAGGATCCCAAAACTGAACGATGGCTTTAATTAAATTATTGTCTACTTCTACTTGAAGTAGTGATGTTATATCTCCATATTTATTCTTAAATGTCTTCTATCTTATTCTACTCATGCATCTTTAGATACTGCTTAAATCAGCTAGATCATTTTATTGTAGCTCGAGATGAACTCTCTTAGGTAATGATGAGATAAACCTTTCAGGCAAACAATTTTTTTATTTTCTTTGACCCTCATCTGACTTGATTATCAATTGATGAGCAAACTCATAATGAACTGATACGACTTTGATTGCATTTAGTTTTCTATGGATGTAAGTGTGAGATATGATTTATCAATAACTGATAAGTGACAAATACTTCCTATATGAGAATGATGCAAATGATAATGTGAACATGAGAATGATGCATAGAATGAAATGATGATATAGAAATGTTATAGATACATAAAATCAAACAAATAGAAAGGTTAGATAAACAATATACAAATTGTTCTTGTGTCCTAATTCTGAGTTGTATCTATGGATGATGAGGAATGGTTCTATCTAAAAGTTGGCCATTTAAGGATGAAGTATATGTAGGGTTAGGTGATTTTAACTATTAAAGGTTTCCAAATTATTCCTTACATCATCGTCTATTACAGACTAGTAAGGTAGTCTAATCCTCACCCATTACAGGCTACTAATGAAAATGATTCAATTTGAGTGGGAGTATTTCACTAGCCATTGCAAAAATTATCATTTCATGAGAGCGTAGGTATTTTACTCCCTCCTATGAGGGACGGAGCTCAGGTGTAGAGCTCATGTAATGTAGATGCATGTGATAGTGTGTGAAGGAACACATAAGTTTCATGCCTTAAAAATCAAATAAAAAAAAGGAAAGATGTTAATAGACACTAATCATTAAAACCATTAGATTAAAAAGTAAGATAAATTCAAAAATTATGGCTTGACTCTCTAGCATCCCCAATGGAGTCACCAAACTGTCATAACATATAGATCCGTAAATCTATAGCTAGACTTAACAAATAAATGAAATCGTCACAAATCTTTTTTTTAACTAGGTGTGATTGGTTACTTAAGGAATCTATCCTTTTAAAGAACTCCTAAGCTTGACTAAGGATCCCTAAAAGTATAAGTTCGGGTATACTAACCAGAATAAGATTCGAGAGTTCGGTTACATGTGAAGAAGGTTATAGCACCCCCACATGCCCATCCAAAAGATGGTACCATAATATTTTGAATTCATCCTATAGTATTGAGTCTAATGGTTTTAACATTTAATGTTCAATATTGAAAATAATTCATAAGATTTTTCTATCAATTTGACATAAATCTTAAAAATATTTTCTTACCTCAAGAGTACTTAAGAATCCTATTTGATTATTTGAAGAGACTCCGTCGTTGAAAAAAGTTAATTTATTATTTTTTATTATTATCCTTTTTTTGTTAAAAATAAATCTAATTATTCCACCATTTGGGCTAATTTAGAAATTCTCTTTTTTTCTTTTTTTTTTGGAAAGAAAATAATATGACAATTATTTTTATTGAAATTTCATCTAAATTATTCTACAATTTGGGTCAAATTTAGAGAAAATTTCTCACCTAAAGATTTATTAGAAATTTATCATTTGAAATTTCTAAGAATCTCATCCTTGGATAATTATCATATATTTTCAACCAAAAATTTTTGTTTGGAAAAAGAATACAATTACTTTTATTAAAACTTTCATTTAAATTATTCCATCATTTGAGACAAATTTAAAAAAAAAATTTCACCTAGAGATTTCTTATTATAAGAATCTCATCATTGGGTAATTGTACTTAATTCCCATAATTTTTATATTTTTTTCATTTTATATTTTTTTGTTTGAAAATAAATATTAATTATTGTTATTGAAACTTATCTAAATTATTCCACCATTTGGGCCAAATTTAGACAAAATTTCTTACCTAGGAATTTTATAAAAATTTACCATTTGAAATTTCTATAAATTTCATCATTGGATAAATAATATTTATTCCCAAAATTTATTTTTATTTATTTTTTCCTAAATTTAATCATGCAAAAAAAAAAAACTAAAAAAACAAATAAAAATAAATAAATAAATAAAATACTAAAAAAATACCAAAAACGATTTGGTTGGAGCGGCTCCGGATGGCTCGGCTACAGACTCAGAAAGAGGCTAGAACAGCGTGGCTTGGGGCAAGCAGCTTGGCTTGACGCGACTAAAAGGTTTGGTTGGCACGCAGGTCAAAAACGGGTTCACGTTCGGGTCGAGTAGCCCGATGGCAAAACGCACGGATCCTATTGTATTATGAAGGTCAAAATGATGTCGTTTCGTAAGGGGTATAAAAGGCTGAGTTCAATTCTTTTTCCTTAGATCCCTCATCCTCGCTCTCTCTCTTCTTTTTTTTTTCTTTCTCTCTCTCTGTAGCACTCCAAAAACACCGGTTGAATTCATTGAATTGTGAAAATTTTGGCTGAAATTTGGATTTTTCTTCGAAAGTTCATCAAAAAGTTCAATGATTTTTGGAGATGTTATGCCGGAAACTAGACAGCTAACCGAAAACTGAGGATATCATTGAAAAATTCAACCAATGCCGAAAAATTTTACCGGAATCTGAAAATTTTCCAGAAAATTTCAAAAAAAAAAAGCCAAAAATTCAAAAAAAATTCCTAACAATCCTAGAATTTTCGTAGCCTTTCTAAACGTTTTTTTTACCTATTTTTGCTTTCTGTTTACCTTATTTTTTGTGTTTCTCCCTCTGTTTTCCTATGTGTTTTGGTTTTGTTTAAGCTTATATTTATAGGCATTGATCAAAAGAATTTCTGATTAATGCCAACTCCTCATTTGATTGGGATTCAAGATTATAAATCCCAATCCAATCCTACCATCCCATCTTTTAGAAAGAAACGAAAAAAATAAAAAATTATATATAAAATTAAAACTCAATTCCGAACCAAGAAACCAAAAATAAATAAAAAATAAAAAAAACAAAAATAATAAATAATAAAAAACCTAAAATAAATAAATAAATAAATAAAATTAAAACTAAAATTGGATCATCTTGTCCCATTTGGATCAAGCTCAATTGATCCAAGCTTGGATCAAATTGAATGTCTACATCATTTATAAATTTTTTATATTAATTTATATTTCAATAAAAATTTTAAGTTAATTTAAAATATTTGCCTCTACTAACCAAAAATTTTGAATCCATCTCCGACTACTAGCATGTAAAAAGCATAAAGTTCTCCACCTAGGTAAATATACTTGAATCCATCAAGTTCAAACTCAACACATTAGAATTCATTTTTTTATTTTTTTTAAATCGATTTTTAAGTCGGATCAAAAATTTAAAAAAAATTAAAGTTGGATTTTAGGTATATCTCCTTGACCTTACCTAGTATACATAAAAAATATATTTTTATTATTTATTTATTTAATTATGTACATTATATTATATTAATTAAATTATTATTTAATATTTTAATTTAAGATATTAACTTAATAAAAATTTTATATTATATATTATTAAGATATAATTTATATTAAAATTTTTTATAAATATTAAAGTAAATTAAAATTATGAAATTAATTTTTAGTCAAGTTGGATTAATTACGATTTATACATACAAAAATTAAGTCAAATATGAAAAAAATAAAATTTTAATGTCAAGTTAAAGTCATATATATATTTTATGAAATCGGATCGAAATCAAGACGAGCAAAAACTCGTCCCATTTCCACCCATTATCATCATTATATGCTACATTTAAAGATAATCGATGAAGCAATATTTTATCAAAGAAATTTTATAAAAAGTAAAATTTTTTTTTAATATTTTATTATATAAAATTAAAATTTTAAATTTTTATTCATTATAATTGATATATAAAGTCCAATTATCATAATTAATAAGATAATACTCTCTCATTTATTAATCATTCACTCCAATAATATTTTTAGTTTCTTACCATAGAATAATATATATTTATCTTAAAAATTAATATTTATTCATTAATAAAATGTTATTATTTGATTCATTGATAGTATATAAAAATGTATTAAATATAAATTCATAAAAATTTTATTTTTTTACCATATAATGAAAGTGTCAAAATCCAATATGCAAAAAAAAAAAAAAAAAAAAAAAAACCCTTTGTTAACTCCTCAATTCATCGTGTATGGCGTTGACCATTATTTCCTTGTCCCTCCGTGTCCATCAAGAGTCATGTGGCTACCCAAAGTACCAAACATAATAAAACGAAATTAGATAAAAAAAAAAAAAAGGACTCATTTTTCTTTTAATTAAAGTTTGGATTTTTTTTTTAAAGAAAAGGGCTAAACAAGTTAGCCGGTAAATTAACCTCTAAACAAGCTGGACTTTTCTGACTTCTGATTAGATTCCCACCACCGGCGAAAAGTACGAGCAGTGTCCAACTTTTTTAATGCTACAAAAATATATAATTCATTTTATTTATTTATTTATTTATTTAAATATAAAAAAATAATTGTAAAATCGTAAAGCTTTAACAATTCTTTAAATTTGTGAACTCGATAGACGCAGCAACCGCACCATAAAAGGCAACATAGCAACCTCCCTCTGTCTCTGTGTTTTCATCTTTGGTCGTAAGTGTTTGGGACTGAGAGAAAGTAAAGAGAAAATCTCGTTTCAATCTTATTTGCTTTGGAAAAATATGTCGCTTCTTTCCGATCTTATTAACCTTAATCTCTCAGACTGCACTGAAAAAATCATTGCTGAGTACACATGGTCGGTCTCTACTCTCTAATCTCATTTCACAAAATCATTTTTTCTATACAAATATTTCATAAATATGTCTAACTCAGTGTTCCCTTCAATGGGTGTGTTTGTGTTTTTCATGTTTAGTTTGTTTTGCATATGCTCTGTTTCACTTTGCTAACATGATCGAACGGAGTTTTTTTTTTTGTTTCTTTTCTTTTTCTTAATGTACTTTGCTTTCAAGAAAGTTTCTCCTTTTCAGTCATATTCTTTCTGGGTATACTTTGTTTTGATTGTTCAACAGCTTAACCAGTAATTCCATGGCAAGTTTTCTTATTCAGATAAACTTTTCTCTTATTTTCTTACTACTAATGGAAGCTTTTGCATTTTATATTGTTGAATAGGGTCGGTGGATCTGGCATGGACCTCAGAAGCAAAGCAAGGGTAATTGATTTTGCCTCTTTTTGAAAGTTTATTTTTTTGCTGTAATTTTCTATACTTTTTGCAAGACCAATAGATTTTTTTTATTTGTCATATAAAGACTCTCTCTGGCCCTGTAAGCGATCCTTCAAAGCTTCCCAAGTGGAATTATGACGGTTCCAGCACTGGTCAAGCCCCTGGAGAAGATAGTGAAGTGATCTTATAGTATGTTTTTTTTTTCTTAAAAGAAAAAGGAATCTTTGGTTCTTTCAGCCTTCTATTGTTTTCTGCTAGATATCGATATATTTTTATTTTTCTATATATTTTCAATGAAATGGTATAGCCCTCAAGCTATCTTCAGAGATCCATTCAGAAGGGGTAATAATATTCTTGTAAGTTCTGTTTCATCTTTGGACTTTAATGTATTTGTTGACTACTAACTTCCATATCATGGAATTGAGTTTTTAAACTTTGATGATTGAGTTAGGTCATGTGCGATGCTTACACTCCAGCTGGTGAGCCAATTCCCACAAACAAGAGATGCAACGCTGCAAAGATATTTAGCCATCCTGATGTTCTCGCCGAAGAGCCCTGGTATTTCCCTTTTTTATTATTATTATTATTTGGTTAAATTTAACAAGGCCTAGGAGAAAGGAGAGAGTCAAATCTTGAAGCTACTTCTCACCGTGTGATTTAATGTCTTTCAATCTGATATGGGAGAACAGGTTTGGAATTGAGCAGGAGTACACCTTGTTGCAGAAAGATGTTAATTGGCCAATTGGATGGCCCCTTGGTGGCTATCCTGGACCTCAGGTAGTGAATAATTATTTCTTTCAAAGGTTCTTTATGTCAAGTTGTTAAGGTTCCCCATTAAAAACAATCGCATGTAGATTTATTTTAAAATGTCACAATGTGGATGGATGATATTAGTAGCACGCGATTGCTCTTTTTTATGCCATTTTTTGAGATATTCTGAAACTTTAAAGCAGTTTTGTGTAATGGCACTTGCTTTAATAATTGCATGATTATCAGGACATATTGGAGGTTTTAAATTCTTTGTCCTAGAGAAGAAACAGTGCCTAATATGATTTTTTTTGTTATTTCTTGACAGGGTCCTTATTATTGTGGTGTTGGTGTCGACAAAGCCTTTGGCCGTGATATTGTGGATTCTCATTACAAAGCTTGTTTATATGCAGGAATCAATATCGGCGGCATCAATGGAGAAGTGATGCCAGGACAGGTAGAATGACTATATATATATGTATATATATATATATATATATTATTTTTTCAACTGTTATGCAGCTGATTCATTGTTTCTCAGTTATTTCATTATGTTAAGTTTAATCAGTCTTCATTTTTTATAGTGGGAATTTCAAGTTGGTCCAGCAGTTGGCATCTCTGCTGGGGATGAGTTGTGGGTTGCACGTTACATTTTAGAGGTAATTTAGCTGGCATGCTTTAGTTAAGACTATCAAGAATTACATTTTGATCTAAATATTTTTGTTTCTGAATTATAGAGGATTACTGAGATTGCTGGAGTGGTGCTCTCATTTGATCCTAAGCCAATTCAGGTTAGAATTGTTGGTTCCATTAGCTTTTCCTTTGCTCCCTTTTGGTTTAGGCAATCTGTTACGGTTATTGACATAATTACCCTGTTTAATCCCAGGGTGACTGGAATGGAGCCGGTGCTCACACAAATTACAGGTACAGTTTTTAATCTATTTGGAGAAGTTAATGGAAGAACTAATCAATGAAGTACTTCTGCTGTTCTCTTTTTTCCTAATGATGATGTTCATATGATGTTTTAGTACGAAGTCCATGAGAGATGATGGAGGCTATGAGGTTATCAAGAAAGCAATCGAAAAGCTTGGGCAAAGGCACAAAGAGCACATTGCTGCCTATGGAGAAGGCAACGAACGCCGTCTTACTGGCCGACATGAGACTGCTGACATCAACACTTTCTTATGGGTACAAAGGAAACCACTTTTTATATTGTTACTTAAGACTTACCCTTTTTTTTTTCATTGATTTTGATATTTACTTTTTGTACAGATCATTCAAACTTGTAGTTCATCATGAAAATTGTTTATATTGATCACTGTCATGTCAAATGCACTTCTGAATGAATCAAGTTTCATTATCATTCTTTGGTGTGCAATCTCCAAAAATGTTCCTTCACTGAAATATATATATCTGATGCAATGTTCCTTAACACTATTTCAACTGTTGGATAGGGTGTTGCAAACCGTGGGGCATCCATTCGTGTTGGCCGAGACACTGAGAAAGCTGGAAATGGGTATTTTGAAGACAGGAGGCCAGCGTCAAACATAGATCCATACGTTGTCACTTCAATGATCGCAGAAACCACCATCCTGTGGAAACCATGAGGGGGCATAAACTGGCATTGTTCACTTTCCATGGTGCAAAGGAAAGAGCTACGTTTTTCAGCAGGATACACTCGTTTCATTTCGCTTAATATTTTAGCTTTCTGTTGCCCTTGTATTTTGAGGTAGCAAGGTAGCTTCTGTTGCTTCCTTGCAATTACAGTTCTGCTCTTGCATTAAATAAATGCGAATGCTAATATTAGTAATGAAATGTGAAAGGATTGGATTTTGAATTTCAGAATTGTTAAGTATTCAATCTTTTTTCTTTTTCCCTTGCTCTACACATCTGTGCTATCAAAGTTACAATAATTCGTAATTTTCCCCAATAGGAAATGTAACAATGAGGGGCTAAGCTTTAATAGAAGCACATTTATCTTACTTTATAGGTATTGCCATCACAGGCTTTTGGAACATTTTATGTCATCAAGACTTAGACAATTTGTATATCAATTTCGCGATAAACATATATAAAATATAACTATTAGTATGTTAAAACATGTGAATGGCTAAACATATATTTTTTTAATGCAATCAAATTTGTGCAATTTCAGCACGGACGAGAACTATGAAAATCAATAAGCTTTTTTGTTCTCTTATTCTTAAGTTCAATTTTAATTCAATTGTTCTCAATTCAATTCACATTTTTGATGATGTAAGCAACCTTTTTGCATCTTAAAGGCTCATGCTCCATCATCTTTCAATAACTATATTAACCTAATTAATTTTTAACTCAGTGTCTTTTGATCTAGTTTCAATTGGTTGCTTCGCTTCAAAGAATGAAAGTCACCAAGACCATACCTTACAATTTTGCTAATTTGTGTTCAAAATTACTTAGCACGCTGGTCGATCTAGTGTCCTTACAGATAGCTGTAACACCTAATTATTAAAATTAAAAATTCAGTATAAATCTGGTGTCATGAGTTTTAGGTAAATCCCCCACACCTTTACCCTACATATATTAATAAAATTATTATGTAATATTTTATTTAATAAAATATTATATTTATGTATAATTAAGATATAATTTATGTTAAAAAATATTTTATAAATATTATATTAAATTAATTTTATACATATATGGATTGAGTCAAATATAAAAAATAATTTTTTAAATATCAAATTGGGTAAGATATTTATTTTATAAAGTTGGATCGAAATCAAGACGAACAAAAACTTACCCTGCCCAACTCTTTGTTATCTCTACTCTTTCCTTATCTCTAGCCCAACCTTTCATTTAAAATTGATAATTTAAAATAGACATGAAAATAATATAAAAAATATAAAAATAATACTATTTATAGTTATAGTAAAAGTATTATAAAATTTAAAAAAAATTTAAAAATATATTTAATATTTTTATCAATATAAATTCTAACATATAATTTTTATATAAAACAAATATGAATATATAAATTTATTAATATTTTATATGTTATGAATATATAAATTAGCATGTGTCAACCTTTTCTTTTCTTCCTCTTCTTTTCATATTGAACAATAATGCCATCTTCAGCCCTATTTGTTTATGGCTCTTTAATTCTTCATTCTATCACTAAAATAACAAATATGAATTGTAGACACTCCAATTTATCTGGGATTAATTTTGTTAATAAAAAAATGAAAATACAAAAATGAAAAAAAAATAATGGTTGGGTAAAACTTGGATTGAAGAGTTTGATATGAATTGTAAAGTTTTAGTTGGATTAAAGTTTGAAGGGAGAATTTAAAAGGAAATGGAATTCTTTTCGGGTGTAGGGTTGTTTGGATTTAAGTCTATAAATACAACCTTATACCAAGTAGCAATATCAGACACAGAGACACACGAAGATAAGTAAGAACAAATACAGCAGAGAAAGATATCAACAAAAAATTCAGAAAGAAGATTTTTCTAAAAATTTTTTGAAAAATTTTTAGATTTTGACGAAATTTTCTAATGATATTTGAAGTTTTCGATGAAGATTTTGGCAAGATTTGAAGTTTTTGACAAAAATTTCAATTTTCAATGAATTTTTCGACGATATTCCCAGATTCTGACGAGGAATTCTAAAAAATGTGCAGTAGAGTTCATCGAGGTTTAGGGAGAGAACATAGGAAAAAAAAAAGAGAAAGGGAATGAGAAATCTGAAGAAAAAGAAGGTTTTTTTTACTTTTATATCCTATCAAAACGATATCGTTTTGGCGTTTAACTCAGCTTAGGATCCACGCGTTTTACCTCCCGGAGGTTCAACTCACAGCGCTGACCCATTTCTAACCCACTTTTTAGCCTAATCCTTCAGTTGAACCAAGCCAAGCCATACTGAGCCACCAAGCTGCATCTTTGGAGTCGCCATTTGTGCCTGAAGCCAAGTCGCACTGTAGCCACCGAGCTATAGCCGTCGAGCCGAGCAGTTTCATTTTTGGTATTTTTTAAATTTATTTTTTTATTTATTTTTAAAGTATTTTTACATGATTAAATTTAGAAAAAATAAAAAATAAAACAAAATAAAATATTTTTTTAGAATAAATAATAATTATCCAATGATAGAATTTTTAGAAATTTAAAATGAGAAATTTTTATAAAATTTCTAGGTGAGAAATTTTTCTAAATTTGTCCAAAATTGTGGAATAATTTAGGAAAAGTTTCAATAATAATAATAATAATAATAATTAATATTTATTTTCATTCTAAAAAATAAAAGTTTGAAATTAAATATTAATTATCCAATGATGAAATTTTTTAGAAATTTTAAATAATAATTTTTTATAAAATTTTTAGGTGAGAAATTTCTCTAAATTTGTCCCAAATAGTGAAATAATTTAGATACAGTTTCAACAAAAATAATTGTATTCTTTTCCAAATAAAAAATTTTTGGTTAGAAATATTTGACAATTATCTAATGATGAGATTCTTAGAAATTTCAAATGGTAAATTTTCTAAAAAATCTCTAAATGAAAATTTTCTTTAAAGTTATCCTAAATGGTGGAATAGTTTAAATAAAATTTAAATAAAAAATAATTGTCATATTATTTTCTTTTCAAAGATTAAAAAATTTTTTTGTAGATAGACCTAAATGGTGAAAAATTTAGAAATAAAAAAATATTTTCTAAATAAGCCCAAATGGTAAAAAATTTAGAAATTAAAAAGAGAAGATATTTCTAATTTGACTCAAATGGTGAAATAATTAGATATATTTTCAATAAAAAGGAACCAAAATAAAAAAAAATCTTTTTATGATGATGAAACCTCTTTAAGAAAATAAATGGAATTCTTGAATACTCTTAAGGTGAAGACATAATTTTTAAGAAATCTACCAAATTAATGAGAATCTTAAAAGTTATTTCTAATAGTCAATATTAAATTTAAGTCTATTAGCATCGAGACCTTAGGATAATTTAAAATAAAATGGTACTATATTTTGAATAGGCATGTGGGGGTTCTATAACCTTCCTTATATGTAACCAAACTTTCGAACTCTATCTGATTAATAGACTAGAACCTATTTTTTTAGGGATCTTTAGTTAAGCTTAGGAGTTTTTTGAAAGGACAGATTCATTGGTGGCCAATCACACCTAATTATAAAAGATTGGTGGTGACTCTATTTGTTAGGTCTAGCTATAGATTTTTGGATCTATATGTTATGACAGTTTGGTGACTCCACTAGGGATTGCTAGAGAGTCAAGCCATACAATTTTAAATTTATCTTATCCTTTAATCTAATGGTTTTAAAGTGTAAAGCTTGTGTTATTTGTTTACTAACATTTTTTTGTTTCTCAAATGATTTATGATGTTGACAATTATATGTTCCTTCATAATCATTATCACATGCTTTTACATTACATGAGTTTTATACCCGAACTTCATTCCTTTTAAGAGGGAGTAAAGTATTTATGCTTTCGTGAGATGATAATCTCCTCAATGGCTAATGAAATACTGCCACTTAAATTGAATCATTGTCGTTGCTAGCCTGTGATGGGAGAAGATTGGACTGCCTTACTAGTTCGTGATTGATAATGATATAAGGAATAATTTGAGAACCTTTAGTAGTCAAAGTCATTTAACCCTGCATATAATTTACACTTAAGAGGCTAACCTTGAGATAGAGCCATTTTTACCCAGTGATAAATGTATCCCGAAGTTAGGACATAAGAAAGAATAATTTGTGTGATATATTGATTATCTAACCATTTTGTTTGATTGATTTTGTGCATTTGCATCATTTCAATATCATTCTATGCATCATTTTCATGATCATGTTTAACATTATCATTTGCATTATTCTTATATAAAGAATATTTGCCATATATCAGTTATTGATAAACTAAATCTCACACCTACATCCATGGAAAGCCAAATGCAATCAAAGTTTACAACAGTTCGTTATGAATCTACTCATCAATTAAAAATCTAGTCAGAGAAAGGTAAAAAAAAAGTAATTGCTTACCTAAGGGTTTTATCTCATCATTACCTAAGAGAGTTCATCTCGATCTCTAACAAAATGACCTAGTTAACCTAAGTGATATTTGGGGATGCATCAATAGAACAAGGCGGGAGGTATTTGAGAATAAATATGAAGACATAGCTTCACTACTTTAGATGGATGTAGACAATAATTTGATTAAAGCTATCTTTTAATTTTGGGATCCTTTTTATAAATGATTTGTTTTCAACGAAGCAGATATGGTACCCATAATTGAAATTTACATGGTTTTACTTTATTTTGACTTGCGAAACCTAGACAAAATTAATTGATCAAATAAACTGGGTTATCACAAGAAGCTTGTACAAATGCTTGGACTTAACTTGCCTCAAGTTGATGTATGTGTAAAGTAAAGCTATCCGATGGAGTTTTCTACAAGACTTCATCCAAGGGCATTTAGATGCTGATAAGAGGTTAGTGGCAATGGCTATAGCTTTATATGGATTCGTTATCTTCTCAAAAGTCATTAGACATGTTGATGTCTTAGTGATAGACTTTATCGATCAGTTAGAATACAAAATCAATGTAGTACCAACCATTTTAGCATAAACCATTCTTTCCTTAAATTATTATGATAGAAATGGTAAAGATCGATTTAATGGATGCTTACAATTGCTTTATGTATGGATGAAGAGTCATATTGAGTGTGAAGAAAGTCAGTTTCACAAACCATACCTTAATTTCAGTGTTTCAATCAAAGAATTTTGTTGCAACATGTGACCTAAAGTGAAGTTGAAAGAAGAATGGGTTTCATATTTTCGTGCGCTTGATAGCCAAAAGATAATTTGGATAGCATTTTGGATGCG